CGAGGTTGCTGTTGAAGAGATCTGAATTTGAATCAGTGAACAGAGAAGATCTGCTTTTACCAAGGCAGGCAGACACCTGGCCAATCCATTGGGACATCCAAATAGACATGAAGGAAGAGGAAGGGCAAATTTTCTTTCTTCTTGAGGTGAGATGTCCATTTTCTCCCTCTCTCAGACAGCGGGCCTCAGGTCCCCAGCACTTACAACAATGTCCTTCTCCATGTCTCAGGTTCTTGGCTTCAGAGTGGGCCTTATACCCTCGCTCCTTGATTCTCAGACCCTCACACTGGGACTGAGTTATGCCACTGGCTCCCCTTGGTCTCCAGCCTGCAGCAGCAGATTGCGAGGCCTCTCAGCCTCCATAGCCACGTGAGATGGCATCCATAATGAATCTCCACTTACATACATGGCCACGCATATCCTGTTGGTTCTGTTTCATTGGAGAACCCTTACATACTATCCTAACCTAACCTAACACATAAAAAGGACGAATTCAAACCAATTCTTATTTACTTATTTATATATTATTATTTTTTAGGCAGTTCTGAGGCTTGAACTTGGGGCTTCATGCTTGCTATGCAGGTGATTTACAGCTCAAACCACACCTCTAGCCCCAACTATGTATTTAATCTTTGAGAGAGGGTCTTATGCTCAGTAATTCTCCTGCCTCAGCCTTCCAAGTAGCTGGAACTACAGGTGGGACCAACCATGGGCTGCCTTAAGTAATTATTGAACACGATACTCTTATTTCTATAATGGGAACATACCTCAGGAAAAAATGACTACAAAGAGCTCTTGAGCTGGGTGCTGTGGCTCACACCTGTAATCCCAGCTACTCAGGAGGCAGAGATCAGGAAGATTGAGATCCAAAGCCAGCCCTGGGCAAATAATTTAGGAGACTCTATAAAAAATACCCATTATTTTAAAAAGGGCTGGCCAGGTGCCAATGGCTCACAGCTGCAATCCTAGTTACTCAGGAGGTAGAGATCAGAAGGATCACAGTTCAGAGCCAGCCCAGGCAAGTAGTTCACAAGACCCTATCTTGAAAAAACCCATCATGAAAAAGGGCTGGTGGAGTGGCTCAAGGTGAGTTCAAACTCCAGTACTTCAAAAAAAAAAAAAAAAAAGTGCTGGCAGAGTGACTCAAACAGTAAGAGTGCCTGTCTGCCTAGCAAGTATGAGTATGAGGCCCCGAGTTCAAGGCACAGTGCTGCCAAAAAAAAAAAATATATATATACATTACATACATTATATACATATTACATATGATTATATATAATTACATACAATAATTACATATTTAATATATATATATTTTTTGAAACTAGGCAGGATTGTGATTATAGCTCTGAAACTATCTGGAGTGTATTTGCTTTTTATTTATCTATTTATGGTACTGGGGTTTGAACTCAGGGATTAGTGTTTACTAGGCAGGTGCTCTACCACTTGAACCGTGCTTCCAGCCCTCATTTATCTCTCCCTTCCTTCATTCTGTTGCTGAGGATAAAACCCCAGGTCTCAAAAATACTACACAAGTGCTTTTCCACTGTTATACCTCCAGCCTAGCAGAGAATTTTAGAACAGAGCGAACTGATAAAGATGTTGATTTACTAAAACAAAGGTTCTCACTGTGGACAAAGGAGATGTTAGGTTGAGCCATATAGACTTACCACTCTTCGTAGATCAGAGGTTTCACATGATTCAACCAAATACAAATATGCAAGGAATGAAGAAAAGGAAGGCTGAGGTATGGCTTGGAACTAGAAGTATATGAATGACTTAATGATGTTAGTGCTGTCCTGGGAGGGCCTAGGAGGCAGTAGCTTTCCAGTAGCAATCAGCACCCAGGACTTGCCCTCAAAGTCCGTTTCCCTCTAAGGGAAGTCTGGCTTCCCCCAGAGATGGCTAACTTCGGGGCTGGCACTGGGAGAGTGTGCTCAAAGAATGACAGGAATGATTCCCATTTTGTATGGCAGGATGGTGGTTATATTGGAGAATGACCTGAAGTCTTCAGTGACAAAGGCACTTATTCTGCTCTTAGAAATGTACACCTGAGGGAGGGACTGTGATAAAGCTAAGGCAACGACGGGAAACATACCAATCAACCTGGCTAAGAAACATACGGGAGCTCCTTGCAGTGTTCTTCTAAGTTTGAAATCATTTGAAAGTGAAAAGTCCGGGGGCGATCTAACCAATGTACAATATAATGAACTGTTACAATGAATCCCCTGTATGACGGACAATAGCCTAATAATTTTTTTTTGTGGGTGCTGGTGGCTCACGCCTGTAATCCTCCCTACTCAGGAGGCAGAAATCGGGAGGATTGCGGTTTGAAACCAGCCCAGGCGAATAGTTCGCGAGACCCTATCTTGAAAAAACCCTTCAAAAAAAGGGGCTGGTGGAGTGGCTCAAGGTGTAGGCCCTGAGGTGAAGCCCCAGTACCACCAAAAAAAAAAAAAAAAAGCTTTTCTTTCATAAAAAAAGCAGGGTATATGATGAGGCATTTCTGTAGTACCAGCACACAGAGGCAGAGGCACTGTGAGTTCGAGGCTAATCTGGGCTACATAGTCAGACCCTGTCTTAACCTCTTATACCCTATGCACACAAAAAAAGGGAAAAGAAGACATGAATTCATTTTGATTCTTAAGGTGCTTTTCGTTTTGTCTTTTAAAAGAGGAAGCTTATCTTGATGGAAAAATCTGTTAAATGCAGGAGGAACAAAAAACTTGGGAAAGTCAAGATTTTGCAGCCATGACTATAATTGTTACTCAGGTGTGAGGCACAGGCCTGTAATCCCAGCTACTGGGAGGTTACTGCAGAAGGATAGAAAGTTTGAGGTCGGTTCCGGACAAAGTGAGATCCTCTCTCAAAATAAAATAAAAGATTTGGGGGAAATGTAGCACAGTGGTAGAGAGCACTTATCTAGCAATTCAGAGGCCCTGAATTCAATTTTCAGTACTGAGAAAAAAAATAATAATGAATCCATTCACCAATCAATGCCAAACTGTTGGGTAAATGGTTTTGTGAAAAACATGGTATTGTGTGGTCTCAAAAGAAATTAACACACACCACAGCGCACTTGTGGCATTATGTTACTTCACAAGGAAAGAGCGGACATGACACCATCGGAGGAACTCATGGCTGAGACCAATTGGACCAAAGTGGTCAAACTTCAATGTCCTCACTCTCAGGGCAAACTGATGCCCTGGATCTCCTGATGGCTTGTCAACCTGATGCTCCAAGTTCACTGGATGATCCAGTCCATGGGCAGTTGGAAGGAAACAGGTCCAGTCTCTTCAAAACGTTAACACAAATCCATTAATGGTGACCAGGCAACGTTGGTGGCTCAGGGAGGCCCCAAACTTGCACAGAGCCCAGAGACAGTCCTGTGGTTGTAAGTGGCACCCCTGCGGCTTTTCCATTTCCTCCAGTGTACACAGAGGTGCCGGTACATAGGTGTGTGACACAGACATGTTATCATCAGTATGAAAGCATGACAGCATCACGTGGGGAAGGTGTCACAGGCATAAGGAATGATGATTCAATATGGCTCTCCAGACTTGCAGTGTGCAGCTGAACCCTGGGCCAGTTGTCCCATAGGGCACACCAAGACAGTCAAGCAGATGGACACATGACATGATCAGAAAGAAGTGGCTGAGCTGTGAAGAGCAGGAGCCCAGAAGAGAAGTTACAATTTAACCAAATCCAGGCATACATGAGCCCTGAGTTCAAACCGCAGTATCACCAAAAAAAAAAATTCAGATTTAGCCAGGGCATGGTGCACACATGTGCAAGTTCTGGCTGTGAACGGCCCCGGTGCTGTGGGCTTGAGCACATTCTGTGGCTGGAGAGTCAGTGAGGGTAGCTCTTTATAAATTGGGGATGGCAACTTGGTACTGCAGTGTGGATCCCTTGAAAAATCCCTGCTTAGCATGGGGCTTGGACAGGGGAGTCCTCCCCGTACCTCGGACCCAAGTTAGGACTGTGGCTCACCCATTGTTTCTAGGATATAAGCCCGCCTCTCCATTTTTCAGGTTTAGGGGACCTTTACAACACCTGCAAGGATTACAGGTATCTCACTTCCCTTTCAGACATGGAGGTGAAGTCAAGAGAGGGCCAGCTCCCTGGGTCCTGGAAAGGAGGACCAGTGCAAGGGGCTTGCTTCATAGACGGGGACCACGGGGACAAGTGAGAAAAATCTAGGTCCAGGTCCTGGAATGGAAGAGACCGGGAGGGTGCATGCGAGAGCAGAGCACGGAGGACTCGGCCATGTGGGTGGGTCCAGACCATGGTGGCAGTGCAGGGACAGGGAGCCCGACCCTGGCCTCGCTTCGTGTCTTGCGGATGCACGACTTTCCCGGTGACTATCTCCCGAACGTGAAAGACCAGCAGGAACCCACGTGGTGCAGGTTAGGGCAATGTGGAGCGTACACCGGGTCGCGCCGTCGGGGGCGCTCAGGGTCTGCACGCGGTTTCGCGGCCCCTTAGCAGCGTTGGGGCGTGGCCTGAGCGCATGGGGCGTGACCAGGAGGCGCGGCCCGGAAGTGCGCAGGCCCCGCCCCCGCGGCCGCGTGGCTGTGCGACCCGGTGTTGCTGATAAAGTTGTTTGAAGGAGAGCCGGCCGCGGGTCACGTGAGCGGAAGATGGCGGCCCCGGCGGGCGGCGGGGGCTCAGCGGTGTCAGTGCTGGCCCCAAACGGGCGGCGCCACACGGTGAAGGTGACGCCAAGCACCGTGCTGCTGCAGGTGCGGCCGCGGGTCCAGGCTGGGGGGGGGTCGGATGGACGGGCACGGGCGGTGGTCGCTGTGCAAGGCCTCGCCCCTGCGGTTGCTCCGGAGGGCTTCGGGGCGTGGTCGCGGGCCTTGGTGGGCGGGGCCTCAGGCAGCCAATGAGCGCTTCCAGCGCTCCACTGAGTTCCCGCTGGGCCTGGAGGCGGGGGTCCTTGGGGGCGGTGGGCTGTTGGGGGGGGGAAGGTGGCGACCTCTCTGTGGGCTCCGCCGCATCCAGTGTCACCCCATGCGAGTCCTCGGCGCTCGGCAGGATCAGCCTCTGAGGGCGCCAGGAAGAGTAGCGCACACCGCCCTCCCTGTCCCGAGAGTCCCAGCGGACTTTAGATCTTTTGGCCTCCGTGCCCGGAAGTGAATTTGCTAAGTCACTCACTGTGTTGGCGCAGCTGGTGACCTCGAGTGAATGACACTTCAGTGTTTATTGAGCCCGTGTTGCGGGAGACTGAGGAATGCCGAGGCATACGCACGCACGCACCACCCGTGTCCGTGGCAGGAGTCCACGTGGTGGGGAGGAGGAGACAGAGTTCAGAAGGGGGGGCTCTGGCAGAGTTGGCCCTGCCCGAGGACCTCCTGGAAGGACCCGGTTGAACTGGTTCCGGAGCTGGGCTCATGGGAGGAGGGAAGCAGGTGTGCAGAAGTTACCTGGCTACAGGGCAGCCAGGCCAGTGGCCTGGCTGGGCAGGATTAAAGCAGAATGCAGAACTGAAGATTTGAACTTTATTTTCCTGGTGGGGAGGGAATCCCAGGGCGTCTGGTGGGAAGATGTCTGTGAGCCCAGAACATGGGGCCAGGCCTAATAGGAAGTGGGGAAAATGGGTAGGGTTTGCAGGTGGGTTTGCTTCAGCTGTTGAGTTAAACTGCTCATCCAGTGGTCTTGTACCTGCTTTTCTGTCTGGGCAGCCAGGCAGCTGGCTCTACACTTGGCTGGCTTCTGTGCCTTGGGGGTGAATACAGTGTCTGTACACTGGGGTTCACTGTCTTTTCATCTCCTAGGTTCTGGAAGATACATGCAGGCGGCAGGACTTCAACCCCAGTGAATATGATCTAAAGTGAGTTTGCTCAGACTCAGCTGTGGGGCCTTAGACCATCTGCTCCCACTCCACCCAACCGTACTGGCTCTGGGAAGAGGTCCTTTGGTGGCTTAAAACAAGTTTATTCTGCTGGATGTCTTAGGAGGCTGAAGATAGAGGATCACATGGTTCAGGGCCAGTCCAGGAAGATAGTTCAAGAGACTCCATTCTCCAAAAATAACCAGAGCAAAATAGACTGGCAGCATGGCTCAACTGTTAGACCACTTGCTTTGCAAGCACAGAGCCTCAGTCTCACCAAATACCCAAGTTTATTCTTTCCCAGTTCTGGGGCCAGAAGTCCAAAGTCAAGGTATCACTTGGGCTGCACTCTGAATATTCTAGGGGAAGAGCTTCTTCACCTTCCAGCTCTGGGGCTGCTGTGTGTTCCTTGGCTTGTGGCTGCACCTACAGTCCTCTGCTTCCGTTTTCAACATGTCCTCTCCTTGTGTCTAGGAGGGTACTTGTGGTTGAGTTTAGGGCCTACTGGACATCCAGGACGATCTCACTCAGCATCTTTGACTTACTATAACTGCAAAGACCTGCATAAGACCAAATAAGGTCACATTTACATGTTCTGGGGACTAGTCCTAATGTATCTTTTGATGGGGCTACTGTTCAGCTGTACAGAGGGTTTTTTGTGCATTTGGTTGAATAAGTTCCTGGGGAGAGGGGGCTCTGAGGGCAAACAACTGGTCATGGAGAAATGGGAAGAAACCCCTCAAAATGGGTGGAGCCTGGCAGCCCTGTGGTTCCTGGGATTCCACAGATGATTCTTTGTGTGTGGCAATTGATCCAAAAAGAGGGCCTCTACCATATCCTTCAGAGGTCCAAGACCATGAATTAGAACCCTCATGCTGGAGGGAAGGTGGTTTCTATCCATGCACTGGAGCTTTTCACTGTAAAGACCTATCTTCACAGTGTCCTCCTGACACTGCTCCCTGCTTTGTCCACACTACCTTCTGGGACTTTCCAGAGAGGAGTTTCTCAGGGGAAATATCTGTCAAGCCATCTCAGTCTCCCACTTCCTGTTCCAGAACCTGTGCTCCTTGTGGCTGGGCCAGGTTGTCACCAAGCATCCTCTCACTGTGTCAGCTTTCTCCATTCCCTGTTAACCTGCCTATGGTCCATGTAATGGTGTCTGTTAAGACAATGAGTATAATTTGAGTCAGTTTCTCTGCAATACTGTATTAGCCTTTCCCATGTCTCCCTCCATCCAAACTGTGATTTGTTTAAAAAGTGCTGCCACTCCCATGAGCAGGGCTTCCTCTCCACCCACTGCTCCTGGCTCTCCTGAGACCTGCTGTCCTGTCTGCACTAGATGTTTTATGTGGCACTTTCTAATTTCTAGCCTGTGTTCAGGATTGGCGTTAATGTTGCTTCATTCTCATGATCCAGAAAGCTCTTAATTATTTCCAACAGTGTCGTTATTTACAGTCAGGCAGGCCACTGTGTATATTCACATTTCACACAAATTTATTTCCCTAGCCTCTGTGAATTTCCCCAGAACTTCTGTGGAAATAGAGCTCAGGCTCTCTCTTCTGAGTGGCAGAAGTCACTTACCTTGTTTGTTCTTTCAGTGGTCACAGCTATGTAGCTTAATGTTTCTAGAGCCATGGGTGGGAACTTTTCTTAGACTTGTGATTTGCAGGGTGGACAGTGGTGGTTCTCGTTCCCTTAGCATTCCTAAGGGAGTCAGAATGAGAGGGGCAGGGGCAGGGGCAGGGGCAGGGGCAGGAAGGTCCCAAGCCAAAGGCTATGGCCCTCCCCACCCCAGGTGAAGGCACCAGTTGAGCCCCTCCCTGTTTCTTTTTTTTATTTGGCAGTACTGGGGTTTGAACTCAAGGCTTCACACTTCCTAGGCAGGTATTCTACCACTTGAGCCGTTCCGATAGCCCAGGTGTTTTCGAGATAGCGTCTCTTGAACTATTTGCTCCAGCTGGCTTTGAACCACAGTCCTCCCGATTTCTGCCTACTGAGTAGCTAGGATTACAGATGTGAGCCACTGCTTTCTGTGAAGCTGAGATAGCAGCAACACACTACCACACCAAGCCTTTTTTCTTTCTTAATTGGTTGAAATGGGTTCTTTTTTTTTTTTTTTTTTCTGCAGTTTTTCTCCCATTTACTTTTTTTTTTTTTCTTTTTATTATTCATATGTGCATACAAGGCTTGGTTCATTGAAATGGGTTCTTGATACCTTTTTGCCTGGGTGGCCTCAAATCATGATCCTCCTGATTGCCTCCCAAGTAGCTGGGATCACATGGGTGAGCCATCACACCCATCTCTGCCTCTCCTTTTGCCAATTCTTTGTGTCTTTCCAAGGTCAGGTGTTGACTCCTTGATAGTCCACAGTTAACTTGTGTTCCAAGCTGGATGTCAGGAGGCACACTTTAAGGTCCCTGTTTACCTTTCATGGCTTGGGCTGTCTGTTGGCTCTTCCTTCTGATTTTCTTGTCTGCCTAGGTGTGACTATGGCTGTGCTTTCTGGAGAGGGTTGGTTCTTTGGAGGCTGTTTCCAGTACATGCTTGAGGTCTCCACACACTTCTGCCCTTCGATGTCCTGACTCATCAGATCTCTTGGTCTCCTAGTGCTTCTGAGAAACTGGGCTGGAAAGCCTTTGAGTCTTCCTCCCCAGGGCCTAGAGGAGGCTGTAGGCTTTCCTGTCCTCCAAAGGATCTATGCTGGTCTGTCTTCACCAGTTGGAAGGCGCTTAGCCTTCCAACAGAGAGGGGACAGGCACTGTGGGTTAGAGGATGTGTCTTTGTGTCTGGACTTGGCCTGAGTTTGCTGTGAGGATGTTGGACTGGGCCGTTCCAGGTGTGGTTTCTCTAGACTCTGCTGCTGCTTGTCTCCAGGTGTGGTCCGTTTGCAGGATGGAGGAAGCAGGAGTGATGGGTGGTAGCTTTTTGGGACAGCCTGGATGTTGGAGGCTTTTCTGGTAGAGCTTTCCTTAGCCATTGTTCCCTGTGTGTTTGCTTTCTGGGGTCTGTGGGCAGCCCCCATCTTACCTGGAGGCTCACACTGCTATCCTGTCTCTTGACTCCAGCCCAGGCAGGTGGGGTCACAGGCAGCCCTGTACTTCCTTCTTCCTGAGGCCCCTGTAGTCAGGACCTGCCTCTCATCTCTGCAGGTTCTATCTTTCTGCTCTGGCAGCTGTGGGGGCAGTCTGGCAGGGAACTGTCCTATAGTCTGGCTGAGGTTGGAGTGAGATGAACTTCAGGGAGGTGTGTGGCTGTGATCTGTCCTGCAGATTTCAGAGGACCGTGCTTGACCTTTCTCTCCAGTGGAGATTTGCCAACCTGCCCAACAATGCCAAGCTGGAGATGGTGCCTGCATCCCGGAGCCGCCAGGGGCCAGAAAACAGGGTAGGTGGCTGGTAGTAAGGACCAGCAGGCTGTTTCTCCTACTCCCAGTGGGGTTGTTGGAGCATAGGATAGCCCTGCAGCAGGCTGAGTGGGAGGCATGCTGCAGGGTTGACCATGGGCCTGAGGACTGCAGGACGCATTCTGCCTTCTTGGGGCATGCCAAGACAGCCTTTTTTTTTTTTTTTTTTTTTTCCAGTGTGACTGGGGCTTAGACTCAGTACCACTTGAGCCACACCTCAGTCCGTTTTGTTCTGGCTGTTTTGGAGATGGGGTCTCACGAGCTATTTTCCTAGGCTGGCTTCACTTTAAACCCCAATCTTCCCAATCTCAGCCTCCTAAGTAGCTGGATTATAGACATGAGCCACTGGTGCCTGGCTCAAAGCTATAGTTTTATTTGGATAACTGGAATTGAAACTTGGGGCTGGTGAAGTGGCTGAAGTGGTAGAGCACCTGCCAAACCCCAGTGCTGCTAACAAAAAAAAATAAAAATAAAACTTTGTTCTTTGTGCAGCTTTTTTTTTTTTTTTTTTTTTGGTGGCATTAATGACAGACCATCCAGGTTTGTCAGCAGCATTTGCTTACCAGCCTGATGTTTCTGGTCATAGAGCCCAAAGAGCCATGTGGATATGGCCGGCAGCCACTCTGTCTCAGCTGCACACAGTCAGGCTCAGGCTTTGTCAGGCTACCTCCGGAGGGCTCACTGGGCTCCAGCCGAAGCTCTAACTGCTTGCCCTGGCTGGTCTCTAGGTTGATGTTAACTGCTGGAGACTTTAGGAACATTAGTTGTCCTGGATGAAAACAGCAGCCATGGAAGTAATGCCATCTGTAATTTGCTGTGCTGCTGCTGTGCCTATGTTTACATGCTTGGCTATTTTCCCTACACTGTGAGAAAGCACCTCACCTCTGTTTTAGTTTTTGTTTATGTATTTATTTTTAGAGGTACTGGGGCTTGAACACAGGGCCTTGTACTTTTTAGACACACATCCCCAGACCCCTCCCCCCCCCTTTTTTTTTTTTCAGTACTGGGGCTTGAACTCAGGGCCTACACCTTGAGCCACTCCACTAGCCCCTTTTTTGTGAAAGGTTTTATAGAGTCTCTCGAACTATTTGCCTGGGCTGGCTTTGAACTGTGATCCTCCTGATCTCTGCCTCCTGAGCAGCTAGGATTACAGGCATGAGCCATCGGTGCCCAGCTGCCTTTTTTTTTTTTTTCTCTTTGAGACAGGGTCTCACTATGTAGCCCAGGCTGAGTAACTAACAGTCTTCCTGCCTAAACCTTCTGAATGGTGGGATCACAGGTGTGGTCACTGTGCCTGGCTGGGAGAGTTAGGAGACTGGAGGTCTTGGTCCCTGGGCTGCTGGTAGTCACAGTTGGCCCATGCCAAGACAATAGTCAAGTGAGGGTTCCTTGGGAGGTACAGGGAATGAGTGGGAGGCTTTGGCACCTGTCATACAGAGTGGTTCCTTTTTTGTGAGCTACTGGGATTTAATGTAAGTGTGCATTGAAGGAAGGGGTGGTGTGACTTAGAGAAGTAATCACTAGTCTGTGCAGGGCCAAGGGTGACAATTGGCAGGTATTTTTCACAGGAGAGGATGTTAGACTTAAGCCCATATCCAGGCTTTGATTGCAAATATGTCTGTCGCTGGGCAGAGAGACCAGAAGGGACTTTCCTTCAGGTTATAGCTATGCTCCTCATTGGAGACACAGTTATTTAAAGATTTATAAAAGCAGGGTGCTCAGCTGTAGGAAAAAATTCAGAAAACACTGTGTATCATTTGTTTATTGGTGTGCAACAAATTACTCTAAACTTGGCAACACAGCACCAGAGGGTCACATCTCAGGTTCTGGGGTTATTCAGGAAGCAGCACAACTGAGGGTATCTGTGAGACTATTCTAGGTGGCTGCCATCTTTGGAGGGTGCTGCTGGGGCAGGGAGCATTTTTGTGATGATGCTTTCTGTGGTTGCACACGTGTGCTCAAGCACATGCTGGTGCTGCCCTTCTGGGAGACCCCCAGCCATTAGCTGTCTCCAGGTTATGCAGAGGGACAGTACTCCCTGGGGTCGATCTTTCTGGGAGGTTCTGGAAGGGCCCCTGGGGATCAGACTTGGTTCTGATGGACAGTTGCTCTTCTTCCTAGTAAGGTTTCTCCCATCCTGCCTCTCCAGGTTCGAATCGCTTTGCAGCTGGATGATGGCTCCCGGTTGCAGGATACTTTCTGTTCCGGCCAGACCCTCTGGGAGCTTCTTAGCCATTTTGCACAGACCAGGTGAGCATTGATGGGCAGAGCATTAGTGGGCAGGACCTGGGCTTTTTCCTGCTCCTTCCTAGCAGAGGCACTGCTGTAGTCATCTGGCCAATCTGAAACTTACACCACTTCTGGCCAGAGCCCAAGCCCTTTGGCTCTTGCCGTCCTGGTTGAGAGTACTGATTTGAGACATGTGAGCTGCCTGTCCCTAGTGGCTCCTGGCAGGTTGGTGGGATCAGTGGCTCATCTTACTGAGTTTCCAGCCTAATGGCCCCGTCTCGCCCTCCAGGAAGAGCAAGGGAATACCTCCATCTTTGTGGGGACACAAGGCCCCTCCCACCCCCAGCCCGTGGGCTTGGTGAGCAGCCAGAGGGGAGTGTGCCTGGATTTCCCTGGATCGGACCTGTATTTTGGAGACCCTTGGATAGAACAGACAAAACACCACTTTGTGACCCCACCACTAACAAACTGGTGTGAAACTCCCTCATAGGACTGAGTCTTCTTGATAATATTTGGGTGTGTCAGTTCCTGTTGATGAATGGTTTAAACTTTATTCTGGAATGTGTAAAATGGTACCTATTTAAGTTTAGATTTTTCATCATGGGATAGAAGTGTTTGTCAGCTTTTAGCGGTCTTAGCCAGCACAGTGTAAGGTATAGTGTTTGCTGTGTGGCTGTAGGTAAGTTTCTCGCCCTCCCTGAACTTCTGCAGCCTCATCTGTATCATGGGTGGTGTGTAAATGAGGTGAGCTAACGTGTCTGGAGTGCTGAGAACAGGATATCTCATGGTAGTTTTTTTACATAGGAAAGTGACTCCATATAGGCATTCACAGTACCCATAGGTGGGAAGACCTTGCTGTAGGAAAGTTTGCTGAGGAGTCGTCTGCAGTCTCAGTGGCTGTGAGGATTGGAGCCAGGTATGAAGTGGTTTAAAATTGATGGAAAGCCAAGTGCCAGGGCGCATGCCTGTAATCCTAGCTATTTAGGAAGAGGAGACAGGGAGGGTCGCAGTTCTAGGCTAGCCTAGGTAGAAAGTTGACGAGTCCTGGTCTCAACAGAAAAAACTGGACATGGTGGCATATATCTGTCATCCCAGCTACTTCAGGAAGCATACATAGTTTTACAGTCCAGGCTGGCCAGGGCAAAAAATTAGACTCCATCTCTAAAATAAATGGAACAAAGAGGACTGGAGGTGTGGCTCAGGTGATAGAGCGCTTGCTTTACAAGTGTGAAGTCCTGAGATCAACCCCAAGCCCACACACACATACACACACACACACACAAATGCAGAGGCCTGGAGGCATAGCTCAAGCAGCACAAAGTCCTGAGTTCAGTCTCCACTGCCATATGAAAATGAGTGGAGGGTGACTGTGATGGACAGAGTGTGATGGCTGTGTGGGTGGGAGCTATAGCACTTGTTACTGTCCTCACAGGACTGGGGAGGTTGAGACAAGACCAGTTAGAAAGGAACACTCAGAGTTCTTGGAATTTAGGAATGTGGAGCGGATAGGGATAGCACTTAGTGGTAGCGTGGGTCACGTAGCCAGAGCCCTGCCTGTGCCTGCCTGGCAGCTCCTCATGGAGGGGATGATAGAGTGAGAGTGTGTGTGGAGGACATGAGGCCTGATGCTTGGAACTGGCAGGGCGCGTCACTGCCATCTGGGTTAAATCACATGACTGTACCCCAGGGGTAGGGACCCTCCTCCTTGGTGGACAGAGGAGCTGTGGAGTCCTTGGTGGAGGGCAGAGAATGTGGTCACTTGGGTTCAGCCATTTTGCTCAGTACCACAACAAAGGAGACACAGAAGGCCTAAGGTTTCTGACTGACAGGTGTGTAACTACAGCAGAGAACTTTCCAAAACAGAAGGCCAAGGTACCAGACTAGAGGCTTCTGCAGGCCCAGCCAGTGGATGGAAGACCTTTATCAACGGATGTTGTTAAGAAACACAGACATGGGGACAGAGAGATGATTCTGTAGGTTCACAGGGAAAGGGCAGGCCTGGACCCCTGGAGCAATCGCTTTTTTTCTTTTTTTGGTGGTACAGGATTTGAACTCAGGGCTTCATGCTTGCTAGGCAGGCACTCTACCACATGAGCCACTGCACCAGCTTGGACTCTGGAGCAGTGTCTTTAAGATCCCACTTTTCTGGAATTCTCTGTCTTGCTGTAGCATTGTGGACCAGGAAAGATGTATGCTCAGATTGAGGGCTGCTTCTTCACTGTTATCTCAGTCATTTTATGTGAACGAAGACAAGCAAGTGGACCAAGGAGTCCTGGGGTGGCCTGTGGGTGGGGTTGAGGATGCTGGAAGAAGTAGGGACAACATTGATTGCAATTAACTGTGAGGTGTAGTTGAAGACATAGTGTAGAGCATGGGGGCAGCTCTTCCAATGGCAGGAGTAGGGCTTGGGAGGTCAAGGAGCATCTAGGTTAATCCCTGGTATCTCAGCCTGTCTGTCGATGGAGGAGATGGGCATTGTGAAAGAAACAGGAGTGTTTCTTTTTTGCTTCTCACTGTGTCATATACATCTTCTTGAAGACCTCACAGTGTTTCTTCCCACATGTTGTCTTCTGTTGAGTGGACCTGGCCACCATTTGTACCCAACCAGTGTGGCAGTGCTGGCCACAGCTCTGCTGTATGTGACCTGTCCAGGCAGAGCTGGTGGGGACTGCCCAGCCAATCACCACTCAGTTCCCCCTGAGGATAAGTTCAGAGACAGGATGGTACATGTGTAAATTTTAGCTTTAAAAGTTCCGACCAAATTTGTCTTGGAAGCTGACCTCCACTTACTGTGAAGTGGATTGGGACCCATGGTGAGATTTTTAGCCCTGCATGGAGGTTCCTGTGCTGGGGATGTGCAGAGGGCCTGGCAGGTTTTTTATTTATTTTTTTGATGGTACTGGGGGCTTGAACTCAGGGCTTCACACTTGCTAGGCAGGTGCTCTACTACTTGAGCCACTCTGCCAGCCCTCGGCTTGGGCTGGCAGGAAGCTGGGTCTCCACCATGGAGATATCACTGGTCCAACAGGTACACATGAGGTGAGAGAGGAGCCTGTGCTTAGAGCTGCCATGCTGGCCCCGAGCTCTAGGAATTCCTCGTCTCAGCTTGAGTGGGACAGGCAGGAAGTTGGTCACCCCTTGAGGCTTTCTTGAAGGTGGGAGAATCCTAGAAATTAAGAGTGCTGTGCCTGTGGGGGTGTTCTCAGGTTGGGGCCTGCAGGCCAGAAGCCCACGCAGGATCCCTGCTGAGGTTGTGTGCATCTGGGTGAAGCGTGCTTTGTGTTCAGGACCACTGGTCAATTGCTGGGCTGGAGGCAGCATATAATTGGAAGGTGACTTTCTTCTGAAATGGACATAGCCCAGTCCTGACTCTGAGCATTTCTGGGACAGCGCTGACTCTAGGAATACCCTTCAAGCCACACGTGCTGGCCACAGAAGCAACTCAGAATTTCTAGTAACACATGCTGGGTGCTGGTGGCTCATGCCTGTAATCCTTGACTTAGGAGGCAGAGATCAGGAGGATCGTGGTTTGAAGCCAGCCTGGAAAAATAGTTCTTGAGACCTTATCTTGAAAATATCTAACACAAAAGGGCTGGTGGAGTGGCTCAAGGTATAGGCCCTGAGTTCAATCCCTGGTACCACCAAAAGAAAAAAAAGAATTTCTAGTAACACATAAAAGATAAAGTAAAAACAGGCATAATTAATTTTACTAATGTTTAACTCAGTACACCTAAAATACTATGCTTTGAATATGTAATCAATAGAAAAATTTGATCACGTATGTTGGTACGAAGTTTTTGAAATCCAGTGCACATTTCGCACACACACCTCTGCTCCCTCTGTCTGGTGCTCTGGGGACTGGCTGCCTCCCAGGCTCTGCTGCTGGCCAGATACCTGAGAGTGGCTTAGGGCTGCTGGCTCTTGAGCTGTCCCAAGTCCCTGTAACCTGACAATCTGCCCAGCAGATGAGGATCAACAGCCACACTGACCTCTGGCCACATTGCTCTTGCCTGCTTCTCCTGTGCCCGTGTTGATTCAGTTGAGGATTGTAAGATGGAACACACCACTTCTGTGGTTAGGTAAAGCAGAGGGAAGTAAAGGCACTGTTACTCACGGCCCTCAGGATGCCTAAAGGCTCCCACACATGGAGGTCAAGAACGTGTGGAGAGGAGAGGGACTTGGGCTTGTCAGGTCCCAGCTTCCTGTGAGGAGTCTTAACTTACCATGAGCTCTTGAAGGCTACTGTGACTCTCTGCCCCATCCACTTGGATGCAGGGGCCAGTCATAGGCTGCGCCCAGCTATCACACCGGGAGGGCTGATGGGCTGCTTGAGGAACTGGGAAGAGGCTGAGAACCAGAAGCTGTGGCCAGGGCTCCTGAATTGCTGGTGTGAGAAAGTCCATGTTGGATTCAGAGTATTGCTGAGACCTGGCAAATGGGAATCCCCGCCATGCTGGATAGAGCCTGCACTCTGGATGTTCCAGGTCCAGGTGGCCTCTGCCTCAGCCTGTTACATACGGCTCCACTGTGTCCCATACTGTCCCAGGCGGTTCTCTGAGGTCTGTGTGGGAGTAGTGTGTTTTTTGTACAAGTCAAGTTCCCAAACTTGCTACAGAGGGGATTCGCCCTCAGAGGTGCTGTCTGTGCTAGCTGCTCCCAAGTGCCCTGTCCCCAGTACGCACCCTCCCTGGCTGTGTTCTAAATGGGCAGTGTCACCAGCTGTAACCCCTCCCTGCCCAACCTCCCCCCGCCCCGGCCGTGTGCCATGTTCCTGGTGTGTGTGCCCCTCCTTGGCTGTCCCCGTGTGCCCTCTCCCATGGTTGTCCTCTTCCTGGCTTGGTCTTCCAACCCCTGCCCCTCTGTCCTAGCCTGATTTCACAGTGGGGCCTGAGCCCTTTTCTCTGTCTTTGAGTAGGAGCTGTGATTCTCAAGGAGGCCAGGTGGTCCCTGGGGCTCAGAGGCATGATGGGCTGTAGCGAGAGGCTGTGGGTGAGGATAGAGTCCTGTGTTATCTCCCTTAGGGTCTGATTATCAGCATGTGGTCACATTCAGAGTGGGTTCGTTTGACCAGTTGGCAGCCAGCTCAGCTAACTGTGTAGGGCCAGGGGCTTCTTTCCTTAGGATTCTCACAGGCTCAGCCACCTGGGCCTCCTTATTTCCTCTAGCTGGAGACACAACAGCACATGGGTATAGACTGTCACACAGCAGTGGGCACCAAGACACCTGGTGCCTCAGGACATGACTTTGCCTTTGGCAGCCTCTCAAGCAGGAGAAGCCACGCTCTGGCTGCAGTTGTAGCTCTGGTGGTTTTTGCTGGTGTGTCATTCTTGTATGGGGAGCATGGTGGTGCCAGCCTTTTCTTGGCAGTACTGGTGCTTGTATCATCCCTGGTTTGGTTAGGCCCCTCAGGTGACTTAACACGAAGGACTGTAGACACTGCCTTGTCCCCAGTGCAGTATACCTCATGGAACCTGGGTCCTAAGTGTGTAGATTGCCTACCCTCTAGGGGACATTGCACTCTGTGGTGGGTGGCATCTGTGCCCTGCCTGGCCATCTATGGTAGCCCCTGGCGTGGACCAGGGCAAGTTTTCTGGCCTTAGAGGAAGTAAGACCTCACCAGTTCCCCAGTACCTTCCCTTGTGGCCAAGGGGCATCTCTGTGTGGTGAGTGGGCGCTGTCCTGCCACCTGGTCTTGCGTTTCTCAATCCAGAATGCTGTGTCCAGCAGGGTGGCATGGTGTGGGGGCTAAGGGCAGGGCATGTCCACTTGCACCAGGGGCCACAGACATTAAGAATTTGTGGGGCTTATGTGAGTGCAGCATGGCCCTCCTGGCACATAATGGTATGTCTTTTGCCATCAGGATGGAGAGTTCTGCTTGCTGGGCTGGGTGGCAGAAAGTCTGGAAGCTATTTCAGCTGCCCCTCCCTTGGCCTGTGGCCGTTCCTCTCAGACCCTGCACGCACAAGGGAATCCGACCCGCCTGCTCCTTCTCTGGTGAAGCCGCACATCAAAGCCAGGCCGCTGTTTGATGTCGTGTGCCGGGCTCTGTCCCTGTTTGTGATTTGTAGTCCACAGGGCCTCAGGGAAAGGCTTTAAGAAGGGGTGCTGGCCGTGCTTGTCTGGGTTGGGCAGTCATGGGTCCGACAACTTGGCCAGCTGTGTGATAAGCCAGCTCCTTCCTGCAGCAGGTCAGTTACGTGTCTCATTTGAGAGACAAGATGCTCGGCTTTCCCATCTTTCTTCCTGGCCCCATCTCCTTGTTTCTATGGACTATCTTCTGGGCTGAGGTTTTCTTCCTGGTCCTCTGTCGTGGCTTCAGAAGGAAGAGCTGCATGGGCCTGGCTAAAGCCATGGGACATAAGGTCTCTGGTGGGCTAAATGTCCTGTTCTTTGGGAGAGGGTAGGTCCAACAGCCGTGTGCTCTGCGGCTCACGGGAAATGTGCTCCACAGGTCTGCCTGGCTTTGCATGGCGGGGACACCAGCTGTAGGCATCATGCGCTCCATGGGCCAGAAGCCTGCACTGAGGGAAAGGACTTCATTGTCACTCCAAGCCCTGTGAGGCCCCTGGGCCTGTGCTGTCTTAGCAAGGCCTCTGCCAGCAGGTGAGGCTGGCAGTGCAGGGCCCCGGGCAGGGAGAGGCTGTAACCCCAGGCACGGGGAGAACACAAAGCAAAAACAGAAGGCAAAGAATAAAAGTGAAAGAGATGAAGCCACACTCTCTCAGGATGAGGATTATGGCTCCCCTGGTCTAGGCCGTGACCTCAATACTGCATGGGCCTGCTGTCCATGCGGTGGGCCTGTCTGAGTCTGGCACTCAGTTCTCTGTCCAGTCCTTTCACTGTTTCACGAAGGCCAGTCTACCCCTATAGAGCAAAAGGTCAGGAGCTGAGTTCGGTGCACACTTGCCCTGGAGGCCCCTTGAGCACTTGGGTGTGGTCACAGTGGGAGCTCTACTTGGGAGGTGTTCCCTGTGCATGTGTCTCATACAGGGATGTTCCCATGTCCCCCCAGCATTGCCCTTGGCCCTTCCAGGCCTACCCTGTTCAAGCCCCACCTTATCTAATCTTTGTGCCCTGTTTTCTGGTCACCAGCTTAGCTCTTGTCTCTTACCATCTCAGCCTGTCCATCTGTTTGGTCCACGGTGACCGTGAGGCCTGGCAGGCTGTGGGTTCCTCCTCTGCCTGGGACCTGCCTGTCGGCCTAGCTCCTCTTGCTTCTCTACCTGGACAGAGACTGGCCTGTACTCATCTCCAGTAAGGGTGAGATGGGCTTTTGTTACTTTGGGGGTGAATTTTACAATGGTGCATTAGGAAATGCAGGACTGAACTTCCTCTCAGTTCTCATGGATATCAGCAACAGAAACACTCCAGGGCCAGGAGAGGGCAGCACCCTGTCACCCTGCTGGTCAGCATAGGTTGGGCCAGTGTGTATGTCAGATGTGTGTACCGAAGGCCAGCTGAGCTTCCTGGGGTCATGATGTGCACAACGACCTTGGGTGGAGGAGAGTGGACAGTGGTCCTTACTACCCAGCCTTCAATGACATCAGCTTGCTGTGGAGGGGATGGCAGAGGAGGGGAGTGTGTGGGAAGGTCTGCTTTGCATCTGGCTGTGACGCTTCCCATCCAGTGTCAGTGACCAGATGTCTGTGCTTGGTGCTGTGCATCCAAGTGTCATGGCCGACACAGGCTGGCTCTGGCATCTTGATGCTTCACTTCCTCTTTCTTTCTTGGTGACATTCACCTCAGTAGCTGGTCCTTCCCTGTCCCATGGGCATCTGGTTGTGCTTCATGAGGAAGTGTCACTGTCACCTCTGTGTTCAGGCATGGAATAGACATGTGGCCTGAGGTCACATGGCTGGGACATGGTTGGGTGCAGGTCACAGGCCATGACTCCAGCATGTGGTGTAGGTCAAGATCTGAAGGTCTGGCCCTTCTGGAAAACCATAGCCCTCTGTTAGCCCTGGTGCTTCTGCCAGCAGAGTGGACAAAACTGGTGGTACTCATGGCCTTGGGACTTAAGCTTCTTTGCTTGCAGTCCAGTAGGTGGATTTGTATCTTAGTGGTCAGGGACTCTCTTAGAGACAGCTTCAAATGGAAGTCCAGACTCCAGGACTCACAGGACTGGTTGCAGGTCCTAAACTCATACATGGCTAAGCAACAGGCCACATCTGGGAGGTGGTTAGGACTGCTTGTCTCCTGCTGGTCTTTCATGGCCATGGGGTCCATCCTGCCTTGAAGCTGGAGAGGGTGGGAGAAATTTCTGGTCATGTGCCAATGACTGAGGCCTTTCTTGGGGCTCTGCTCAACTGTTGATTGCCTCCTTCTGATGGTTGTAGGGTACAGGATAGGGTCTGGGAAGGCTGGTTGGCTGGCTGAGAGCTATGGCCCTGGGCTTGGGCCAGCTTTCTGAGCCATCAGTGCCTCCATGGTGCTGGGCCAGGTGCCCTGGGGTTCCTGCTGTCTGAGTGGTGGGACCCTGATATTCTTTTCTCTCTTTCCAGGGAATGTCTGCAGCAGCCAGGCGAGGCGACCCCTGTCTGCGTGTACATGAGGGATGAAGTAGGTGCTGGCCACCCCGCCCCCTCCCAACACGCTTCAGCCTGCCCAGCCCACTTTCCAACCTGGAAACTTTGCTGCCTCACCCTCTTCAAAGCAGCGGCAGGAGCAACAGCTCCTGAAAGCATGATGTGTTTTATGGAAAAAAGCGGAACAGCCGGCTCCGCTGGAACCCGACCACGGCCGCCGGGCTGCTCCCGAAACCTCCCTCAGCGCCCTGTTTGTTTTTTCAGCTTCTCTCAAAGCTCAAGAGTCACAAAAGTGGTTTCATTTTAGTAAATATTTGCTTTGCTCTGTGTTTTGATCTTTTTCAAAACTGAGAGCAGCATAGCACAGGCAAAGCCTGGCAGTGAGGCCCTGCTTGTCCGCCAGCTCCGCCTGCCGTGACAGGGACCCTCCCAGTGCTGAGTCCCCTGGCCTCACAGGGGCTTTTTGTTTCAACTCTGGCCCAGCGCCCTGTTCTGGCCCAGGTGGGGGTGTGCTGTGGCCAAGGGGTCCCTGGAAAGGTCCAGTGGTGGATGGGATTTCCCCTCTTATCCCAAATCAAGGTTCCCTAGCTATAGCTATGTGGGGACATGGGAGGACATACTGGCCAGCATCGTCCCTGGGAGGAGATGGACCATAGGACTTTAGGAGACTCAGGCCTGGTCATCCTGCTTGGCCTCTGACTCTTGTGTTGTGCAGCCCTCAGAAGGCATGTCTGCTCTGGAAGTAGCTCCTACAGGACTCACATTAGCTCAGGGGACATGGCCAGCCAGGTCTGAGTGATCCCCACCCTGAGAAGGGTCAGGAGTGATCCATGTGGGAGGACCTAGGAGGGAGGGCAGTGTATTTCAGGCAGCACCAGCATAGAGGGCAGCTGAGGCTGCATGTGGAAAAGAGGAGCTGGTGTGGCAGTAGTCAGATGGGTTGCTGAGAGGGTGCAGTAACACCTGCCAGGCCAGGCATTCTGATTTAGGATCCCCAAAGTTCAAAGGGTTTTGAAAAATGAGTGCCACCAGCCTGCCTTTGGCACACCAGGCAGGGTGGACTAACTCTGTGGAGGGGCTCCTGGGCCCTTTCGGGCCTGGCAGAAACCTGTGGCTTTGAGATTAACTTGCTGTAGGGATCTAGCCTGTCTCCAGTGTTTGGGACCCCAAGGCTCATTGCAGTGGGATGTGAAGCAATCTGGTGCGTGTGAGGTCAGGGGCTGTAAAGGGGATGGGAAGAGGCTTAGAGGCCCTCCTCTGCGTGGTAAGCTGTCGCAGGGAGGCCCAGCAGAAATGCTGGTCAGTAGTGGCTCTGAGGACCTGGTGCTTAAGGGAGCAAACCGGGTGGTGTTGGTGGGTAAAATGGGGTTTGCTTGTCCTCCGTGCCCCAGCAGAGCTGGCCAAGGAGCTGTGCATGCATCTCCACCCTTCAGTCCCTAAACATGTTCCATTCCTCTATCCTCCTGGTTGTCAGCTGTGGGCAGGACTCTGGGCTTCTGGGCATTCCCCATCCAACCCAGTTTTCCCTCCCTAGCTGCAGTGGGTCCAAGTTCACAGCTGAAGAGGCTGTGTTGGGTCAGGAGACGGACAGTCAGCAGACCCTCACCAGCTGCAAGCCAGACACATGCCAGGCCTCACAGAGCATGTGGACTGGCAGGGACAGAGGGGCATGGGTAGAAGAAGGTACCTGGGCAGTGTAGGGCCTCAACACAGGCCTGGTGAGGACTTTGTCAGTGGAGGCTCAAAGGGTCAGTCCAGGAGGGGTTGCTGTGATCTTAAAGGTCCAGGAGAGGGGCCCATGTGTCCTTTGCTTTTCTTGCAGGTCACTGGAGGAGCTGCCCTTCAGAGCACTACACTGCAGTCACTGGGCCTCACCGGGGGTGGTGCCACCATCAGGTAGGGACAGCATAGCTGGCAGGCTTGGAGACCTGTTTAGTTTAACAATATGGTCTTAAAAGAAAAGGAGTCAGAGGTCAGTTGTCGTAGCTTGTAATCCTGACTACTTGGGAGGAGGAGATCAAGAGGATCTCTGACTAAGGCCAGCCCAGGCAAAAAGTTAGCAAGACCCCCATCTCAACAAATAAGCCAGATGTGGTCTTTTGTGCCTGTCATCCCAGCTATGCAGGAGGCATAGGTAGGAGGATCTCAAGGCCTAGAGTTCATTCCCCATCGCAAAAATACTCAACCAAAAAAGGGGCTGGAGATGTAGAGCGCCTGCCTAGCAAGCATGAGGCCCTGAGTTCAGCCTAGTACTGCCAAAAGAAAAAAAACCAAACAACCGAGCATGGTACATGGTAGCACACTACCTGTAATCTCAGCATTCAGGAGGCTGAGGCAGGAGGATCAAGGGTTGGAGGCCAGCCTGGGCTGCATAGCGAGACTGTCTCAAAAACAAAACAAACAGCTGGGTACCAGTGGCTCATGCCTGTAATCCTGGCTACTCAGGAGGCAGAGATAGGAGGACCATGGTTTGAAGCCAGCCCGGGCAAATAGTTCCATGAGACCCTGTCTGGAAAACCCTTCAAAAAAATAGGACTGGTGGAGTGGCTCAAGGTGAAGGCCCTGAGTTCAAGCAAAAAAAAAAAAAAAAAAAAACCAAACCAAGAATTTGAAAATGTAGGCGAGCCCCATGGTGGGGGGTGAGGTGGGGGAGGGCGGGGAGGGGCACCCTCTCCATGGCTTGTGGTACTGCAGCTGCCTTGGTGGTCACTTCTTGCCTTTTTTTTCTCCCTCCAGAGGTGAAGTGGACTGAGGGAGGGGTTGTGCAGTGTTCTCAGAGAATGGATCCTGAGAAGGGCCACTCACCATCTGGTTCTCTCTCAGGTTTGTCATGAAGCCATGTGATTCCATGAACAAGCAGGACCCTGTAACCAGCAGGAGCAAGATCCCGGGAAGCCCAACCTGCTCTGTGTCGGCTGACCAGGCATCTGCCGGCCCTTTGCTCCCCTTGAGCTCTGGAGAGCTCAGCAGGGGCGATCTGAGCCACCAGGGTGACACAGGCACCACCACGGGGACATGCCTCGGGGGTAGCCCAAAGCCAGTGGATGCTCAGGCGAAGCGCAGTGCCAAGGAGTCTGCACCTGCCCCTTTTGTTCCTTTCTCTGGTGGGGGACAGCGGCTGGGGGGCCCTTCCGGGTCCTCAAAGCCTCCGATGTCACCTTCAGCCAAGTCACCTGAATTCTTATCCAGCCCTGGAGGCCCCTCCAAGCCCAAGAAGTCGAAGCCTGGTGAGGAGCCCCAGCAGGATCCAGAGCCGGTAAGGGGTGTGTTGGGCCTTGGGCCTTGGGGGAGCAGCCTTTCCTCCAGCTGAGGCTGTACTGTGGCCAATCTGGTGTGTGGCCACAGGCTCACTGGCGTCTCCTTGGATGTGACTGTGTTCTGTTTTGTGCCTGCTGGTTTTTGTGGGTTTTTTTTTTTTTTTTTTTTTTTTTGTGGGACTGGGGTTTGAACTCAGGACTTCAAGATTGTAAAGCAGGCACTCTACTTCCTGAGCCACCCTCCACCCCATTTTTGCTCTGGTTATTTTGGAGATGGGGGTTTCAAAAACTATTTGCCTGAGCTGGCCTTGAACCACAATCCTCCTCATCTCAGCTGGGATTGTAGGTATGGGCCACTGGCACCTGGCTGTTCCTGCTGTTTTGAGCCTCTGATTCAAGCATGTAGCCTAATAGGTTTTTTTTGTTTTTCTTTCCTGGCACTAGGGCTTAAACTCAGGGCCTTCACCTTGAGCCACTCCACCAGCCCTATTTTTGTGATGGGTTTTTTCGAGATAGGGTCTCACGCATTACTTGCCTGGGCTGGCTTTAAACCATGGTCCTCCTGCAGTTAAACTCTGTTGGGAGGAGAGAGTGGCTCCCCTGAGCCCTTGTAAAACAGTTTGTTTAGTGGCCACTGGTCTAGAATGACATTTGCTACATTGCCTTGTCTTGTGATAGGCTTTATTGTGCTAGAACTTACTCCTGTGTGCCACCCACACCTTTCAATGTGCCTATTTGACCACTTCTGGGAAGAGCACTTTGTCTTAATCTTTGAGCTCCTGTAGCTGCAGTTGTCGCCCTGGCCCCATTTATCCCAGAGTCTCATTCTCCTGCCATCTGGGTGAGGCCCTCCTACCCTGCCTGCCATGCCGCACTTGCAGGAGGCCACCTGTGTGCCCTGGCGGGCCCTTTTTGCCACACCACATCCTTGCCCCCACCCTCGCTCTGCTGCTTGATGGCACTGGCCAGGGGGCACATGATGTGGGCTGCCGCCAGTCAGTGCTTGCCCAGAAGTCTGGTATAGATTACTTGCCATGTCTCTTAGACTCTGCAGCTGAGATTTCAGAGCTTCCACTGCCCTCTTCGGAAAGGGTGATATAGGTGGTGTCTTCACTTGAAGACGTCCCTGGGCTCAGCCCATGTGTGGACTAATCCTGGGGTTTGTCTGGGTGACACAGACCCCTGTCTACCTGACATAAATAAAAGCTTCCTTTCAGATTTCCCTGGAAAGCGCCTTGGGTCTTAAAATGTGCAGGTTCCTCTCCTTTTTTGAGTGTAGCTCTTGGGAAAGCCCTGGTCTTCCTCCCAGAGTCCAGCCTGGTGGGGCTGTGATCCGCAAGACCTGGGAACCTGTGGCTCTGGCCCAAGCCTGGAGAGGATTTCCCCCTCTGGCCAGCATGTCGCTTGCAGTTAGCCCTTGTGCCAGGCCACAGGGGTACCCCAGGCTTGGCACACCACACCTGCCCTGTATCTGTCTGGTATTTCAAAGGAAGGCAGCTGGTTTTGGAGAATGACTTTTGTTGTGTTTTGTTTTCTTTAGATAGAGTCTTGCTTTGTAGACCAGGCTGCCTTCAAACTCATGATCCTCCCTGGGAAACATTTCCTGCTGTGGTGTTAGGGACACCAGTGGAGAGCCAGACTGAGGCCAGCCTGGGTTTTCTGTGGCATTCCTGATGCACTGTGGGTGTGAGTGGTATCTCCATTGCATGTTCTCCACCTTCCCCTGCCCTTTACCTCCAACCAGAGTGGCTCTGCTCTTATTTATGTATGCAGTTGTGCTCACAGTCTACTTAAGGTTTTATTTGATTAAAAAATGATACCACTGCTGGGTGTGGGATCTGTAATCCTAGCTTCTTGTGAGGTGGAGATTGGGAGGATTGCAACTTGGGGTAAGCCTGGGCAAAAAGTTAGGGAGAACCCCATCTCAACCAGTGAAAGCTGAGTGTGGGGGTGTATAACTATTGTCCAGGCCTCCCTGGGCATAAACTCAGGATCCTATTAGAAAAATAGCTAATGGCAAAAAAAAAAAAAAAAAGGTCTGGCACCGTGGTTCAAGTCGTAGAGTGCCTGCCTAGCAAATGTAAGGCATGGAGTACTGCCAGAAAAAAAGATAACCCCAGATGATGACAAGCCTCTGGAGGATGTGTTAATGTTGTTATTTTTTTTTTTCTGGTACTGGGGCATGAACTCAGGGACTACACCTTGAGCCACTCTACCAGCCCTTTTTTGTGATGGGTTTTTTTTGAGATAGGGTCTCAAAGAACTGTTTGCCCAGGCTGGCTTCAAACCTCCTGATCTCTGCCTCCTCAGTAGCTGGGATTACAGGAGTGAGCTGCAGTGCTCTGCTATGATTACCATTTTGAGAGGGTCTCTCTGTAGCCCAGACTAGCCTTGAACTCTCAGTCCTTCTGCCTCTGCCTCTGAGTGCTGGGTGTGGATGCCACTGTACCAGTTGCTTTTTTTGTAAGTATTTGACAGCATCACACACGGCAAGACAGGGACAGAGATTTCTCAGATCCCCTGTCTCCCTCCACACTGTCAGCACCCCCATAGAGTAGACTGTTTTTGCAGTGGACAGTACTACAGGCACATCCTTATCGCAGACCTTTGGTTCACGTCTGGGTTGACTGTAGGTTGGACAAATGTATAGTGATGTGACCCCACCTTTATGGTGTTGCCCAGGGTAGTTTCACTGCCCTACACGCCCCTGTGCCCCACCTCTTCATCCCTCCTTCCTCTGATCCCCAGCAGCCACTGACCTTTTATTATCTGCATAGTTTAGCCTCTTCCACATGTCTCTGGTTGTAAGGTGGGACCCTCCTTGCTGGCCCTCCTCCCCCAGCCATCATGCCCCATGCTGTGCGTGCTTTGGAACAATCTACTCCAGCCTGCAGTCTCACTGCATCCCTAATGCCTGGGGCCATTTGCTGCCAGTGTGATGGGTGCAGAGTTGTGCCTTGTAGCACTTTTTCTCTTTGAGCACTGCCATATAGCATGCCTCTCTCCAGGCACTTGCTGGGTGTTTCAGCTTAACTTTCTTGCCTGTTAATGACCTTTGCCCAGGTTGTCTTCTGTTGCTTGGTGAGAATTCCCTGTATGTTCTGGAGGTTGTAGCCATATTGGTGAAGTTACCATGACTGTAACGATGGTGTACTTCACTTACCCATAGGAATAGTTTGATAGTCCATTATCCAAGGTCAAAGTGGTGTCTTCCGGCATTTTCTTCTCTTGGATTTGCCCTTCATTCAGTGGTTTTCTGCCCTGCTGGGGGTCACTTGTGCACAATGAGGCAGAGTCTGGCTGGTTTTTTTCTGTATGTTGCACCATTTTCCCAGCCATACAGCTGCCTGCCTCACTCTGCCCTGCTAGTTCCTGTTTTATCATGCTGCTCTTCCTCCCAGTGACTCCACACTGCTTCCGGCTGTGGTTCATCTTAGAACAGTTGACAGTGAGTCTCCTCATTGTCCTCCTTTGCCAAAAATGACAGTCTATTCAAGGATTTATCTTTTCAAATAAATGTCAGGATGTTTGTTTTGAGGATGTTTGCGAGGTCCTCAAAAATTACTGTAGGACATTGCATAGGATTATGTTGAGTTTCTCCTTTAATTTGGAGAGAATGAAAGTCTTTAGATTGTGTGTCACCTTCTCCATGGACCTCATGTTTTCTTCCACTCAGTCTTTTAGGCTGGCCTCAAACTGGTACTTCTGCTGCCCTAGCGTCCCCAGTGTTGGGTTTACAGGCATGTGCCACCACACCTGCCTTATTCTGTCCTTTAATATAGAATTTTATTAACTTTTCCATGAAGGTCTCTTACAGACTTTATGATTTCTGGATATTGGGGTTATTTTTCATGGTGTGGAGGACAGTGCTCCTGTTACCATGTGACAAGCCTACTCCTTTAGTAGTTGCTGTGGCTTGTTTTTGTTGGGTGCCAGCCCTTCATGCTAGGCTTGTCTTTTTCCTTATGTCTGGCCTCTGTATTTGTTGAGTAGAGGAATCTTTGTGGATGTCCTTGTCTTGGTCTTAGAGGAAACAATCTGTGGTTCCTCCATTACGGATGATATGCACTGTAATCAGCCTTCATCAAGCTTAGAAAGTTGAGATTTTCTCTTCATGCGTAGGTGTTGAAACTTGCAGACAGCTTTTTCTGCATTGGCGAGGTGAGTGTCTGTGAGCTCTGCTTCCCCCTTCTGTTTCTGCATGTGGTGAAGTTTTGAGTAGAATGCTGAGTCAGACTGTCCTTGCCTGCAGGGGTTCATCTGGTTGCCAGTGATGTGCTTTTTGTTTTTTGTTTTTGTTTGTTTTTTGGTGAGACTGGGGTTTATAACTCAGGCTTGCATTTGCAAAGCAGGTGCTCTACCCTCTTGAGCCACACCTCCATCCCTGCCAGTGTGTTTTGTTTTCAGCTGCACTGTTAATCTGGGTTTGCTACCACTTTATTTCAGACTTTTGTTTCAGTATTCATAGGTGAGACAGCTCTCCATTTCTTTTTTTCTCACGTCTTGTCCAGCTTAGGAGTCGAGGTTATATTAGCATCCTGGGTGAGTTCTTTGTGGCCTGGATATAGCCTTTGCAGAAGAGGGACATTTGCCTTGTTGCTGCCTCATTCAGGCTCTGTCCACAGTTTGCAGCTGGTACTTGTGATGGGTGTGTGCAGATCACCAGGTGGGTGACCTCTGACTACTGGGGTCATGCCCCACCCTGTGCTCTAACTTCCTTGCACTTCACCGTGCTCCCTCCTCTGGTGTTTCCTGGCCCTTGGGCTAACTTGTCCTGGGCATCCCTCCCTTGATTTCTTTCTGGTTACATCCTTGTGGCGTCATGTTAGAGTCCTTTGCTCTCTGCAGAATGAGGGTGGTCATGGCACCTACGTTTTGACTGGAGGAGGCAGATTGAGGCCTATAGGCAGCCCCTGGTGCAGTCTGAGGGCCCAGGGAATCCAGTGGTGGGCATGGGAGGAGGCAGTTCTGGCCAGCTGTCTGCAAGAGACATGCTTAC